TCCATGGTTTTTGTTCTAACGAGAACTGCAATGACTCTTTAAATCTCCAAGAAACTTGCAATGCTTAGTACAAACACGGTAAACTAAGTTGTTCTGTACAGGGCCTAGATTGTTTTGTAAATTTTATTCGTTTTTTTTTTTGCGGGATTACATGAGCCGGGTGAGACCGCAGCGGTTTCGTCCCGCATGTTGATTTATTACCTGTGTAGAGGGAAAAGTGTGTGAAAATGAAGAAAAGAATTAATCTCCAAACACAGTTCTATAAATTTAAATAATTTCATTACTGCGTATAAAAATAATATTTGTTTTCTTTTAAGCTGAAAGAATCAAGTTAATATGTTCCTTACAAACAAATTTCATTCAAGTTTTTTTTACAATACAAAATAAATGAATGGGATGCACGTTATGTGTGAAATTATCACCGAAAAATCCATAATTTACGTCTTATTATGTGTGCGTGGCGTAAAATTAGCAACAGGCTGGCTGTCAGCTAATTAATATCAGTGCATTTACGGCTTTTATTACTACGCTTAGTTCATGTGCCGCTTGCGAATTTTCGTAATGTAAACTTGCAAAATAGTTTATGAAAATACGTTAAAAGCGATAAATAATTTACAAAAATGAATTTTAGAACTCAATAAGTTTATATGAGTAAAGAAAAATTTGAATAATCAGTATTATTTACATCCAGCTCGAAGCTATACTGAAGACTAATTTATTAATATAAATATCAGGAATATAATATTTTTACAAATTTTGACCTACGTGACCACAAAAAAAGAGTGTCAAAAGAATTGTTTTACTTATGAGACCGGTATTATTTTAACTATCTTCACTCCTCGTCAATGTTTATTGTTTTAAAAAGCGATGTTTAGAATTGTAATAAAACTTAAATATATTAAAGTAAATGTGAACATTTTCTTTGTAATTGAGAATTGACAACAAATATAATAAGCAGTATTTATTATATAAAATTGTTTATTTACACTATGTATTTATTGGATTGTTTATACGAAAGACTGACAAAGCATCGACTAATTGCTAATCTATTCAAGCTTCATAAAATGCTGAATAATTCAAATTTCCAGGGTTCACTAATTTGAAAAAATTCGTAAATATTTATGAGTAAAAAAATGTTTTCGTATTTATTTCTTTTCAAATCAGCAAATCATACATATCGCATTGCATTAGTTTTCATTGTATTAATTTTAAGAATATTGAAAATCTAAAAATATTCCTGTAAATAAGCAATCTAGTAAATTTATAGTGTTTAATATCTTTGTATGAATGTGTTTTCATCATATGTTTATCTTTTATTACAATTCTAATCATCGCATTTTAAAGAATAAACCTTGCTGAGGAGTGAAGGTATTAATTATCTTAACAAGTTTATTATGTTTAATATTAACGGTATCAATGGAAAACCGACCTTTTGACACTCTGTTTTTCTTGGCTGGTACGAAGATCTAAATTTGTCATGGTAGCGAATAAAATGTTTGATATCGACTGGAAACATATAAAGAAACTTGCGCCTATCGTAGATCATTTTCAAAAGAAACGGTTGAAAACGAAAGACCGCCGTTTTTGATGTTAACATTCCGGGGTTTCAAATAAATGTGGGTCCACATTATGGCGCTGAAATAGATTATAGCATCAGCTGTTTAAATTGGCGTTGCGGCGAAAACACCTTTATGATGTTTAATCAGCAGACATTAAAGAAAAAGTATCAGAATAGTCCAAACATTGCTTAGTCACACGCGTCTTTGCCTTTACAATTGGGACCCACCATGGCAAATACGCTAAGTGGAATCATCCCCATTCCCTAAATGTTGTATAAGTAAGAAGTAACATCACCTGGGACAGATTCCTCTCAAGGACTGCTGCTTTGTTGAACTGACACCCAGCAGGATATTTTCCCAATTTCTATAAATTCTTTACACCTTCAAGTCTAGATGTAACCGTTATGTTTCGTACATAATCCTATTAACTTCACTTCTTACTTCTTTTTACGATTATACATCACAGAGTAACCCTCTATCTTGAGTGGCTCTTTGGTCTCTTATTGTGTAAACATTAGTATAAAACATAGAGAAAATAAAGCGTTTAAGTGGTTTGAAATTTAAAAGAAAGGTGTATTTGTTGTAAGTTTATTATTAGTGCTGAAAATCTCTTTTCCTTTTCATCTTATAAGACATAAGATCATCGCCAACCTGAGGAGTTCGATGTTGTCAAATAGTCAAAACAGAACTAATGTGTACCTAGGTTGAAAAGTTTTATCTTTTTTTCTCGACAAAGAAGAGTTTATGATAACTCACTCTTCGTTTTTACCGTGCAAGATGAATGTAATATAGAGGTTTCTTTACGTTTGGTTTGTTTTACGGCATATCAACCTCAATGGGCTGTTTAATGACTACAAGATTTTTATTACTGGTAATATTTTTTTCCAAAAATGTATTGTTGGTAATATATTTTCTTGCTGTTATTTTTTTTCCTTCAAAAAGGTATTGCTCGTATTTTTTTTTCTTCAAAAATCTATTGCTGGTAATTTTTTCTCAAAAATGTATTGCTGGTAATTTTTTCCTTCAAAAAGGTATTGCTGGTAATTTTTTTCCTTCAAAAACGTGTTGTTGGTAATATTTTTATTTTTTACTTGAAAAGGGTATTTCTGGTATTTTTTTCCTTCAAAAATGAATTGCTGGTAATTTCTTTCTTCAAAAATGTATTGCTGTCAATTTTTTTCTCAATAATGTATTGCTGGTAATAAGTTTTCCTAAAAAAATGTATTGCTGGTATTAAAATCTATTTTATACTTTCATAGTGAATTGACCCCCAGTTTTGGGGTTAAATATTTGCCCATAGCTGGGATCTTAAAAGGTGCTACCACCCCGGGTCAGGGTGGACCTGGGAACACCAGCAATTAAGAGGTGGTACCAAACTCCTCAAAACCTCCTGATCAGAGGTCTTGCTGTTGGATGTAGTATATCGTCTTACTCAGGACGCGGATCTCGTCATACCAAGGACGGGTGATATACAGGTTAGAGAGGCAATCACCTAATAATATAAGAATTTAATAGTACGGTGGCCTGCACTGTCATAATTCTTTTTTATTCCTAATCCTTTTGTAAGTTCTGATTTTTTTAAAATTGCATACTCAGTTTCTTCGCACACTATAAACAGAATAATATTATGATATTTGTTTTATAATGTCTTAGTTTTCACAGCTGTGTAATTTCTGTCTATTTTAAAGTTGTGCATCTGGACTTCCATACTTCTCTTAACAAGAAACGTAATGCTGACTTTTGCAAAGGCGCGTAAACAGATCACCGATGACTAAACAACAATAAGCAAGTGGCTCACGCGTAAGCAAGGTTCTTTTCTTCAATATTCATACCATGACAACAATGACTTTCAAATTAGTTCCAAGGGAGGCAATTCACGACGTCGCAAACTATTCTACAGATCGATATAGAATTACTGAAATCCAAAGCCAATCTAACAGAAGACGTGTTCTTGCGGAAGAGTGCACGTTGCAATGCTCTATGTTTTGACATATTTGTCGACCGAGGCAAAAACGCGGCTTCGATGTCACTGTCAAGGTGATATCCGTTCAAATAAAACTCGAGATTGCCGTGACAAAAAGCAGGTCAGATGAGGTCTTCGTTCGTACAAGGTCGCGCGCCTTTATTACCACGTCGATCTTTGTTGCATTGACTGATACATCCGTGTATTAGAAAGTGCAGGGAGCAAATGAATAACGCTTGACAAGCAGACATGGATGGTATATGGAGAGGCGTCGCCCTTTTCAACTCACTCACTTCTTTTCGATTTCATTAACACCGACTTGTCAGGTGAATGTGAATAAAGGGTTAAAATTAACATATCTTCGAACTAGTTCGATCAACGATCTTTAACACATCGAAAATCGGAAAATGTGTAAGCAGGAGATGTTTTTAAAAAGAAATTTCCATGAATTGTGGAAGCAACGTCGATCCTGGTCAGTATCTAGATTAGTGACTACTCGAGAATTCCAGGTGCTGTAAGCTTGGATGTGCGGGTGGTGTAATAAATAATAGCTTGGAATTGTTAATCTGAGAGCAGAGTTCCAGTTTGAAGAGATCATCGAAGTTAGGCAACGTCGAGCCTGGTCAGTACTTAGATGAGTGACCGCTAGGGAATACCCGCTGCTGTAAGATTGGATGTGCTGGTGGTGTAATGAATAATGGCTTGGAATTGTTAATCTATGATCAGAGTTCCAATTCTCATTGGGTTGGTTATTTTCCCTTACGCGCAAATACCCATCGGCTAAATAGGAAGACCAAATCATTAGTATCTAAAAAAAAAGATTCTTTCAATCTAAAAATATTTTCTGCCAAATCTATATCTATAATTTTTAAAAGTTGTATGTGTGTGTGTGTGATAGGATGTTTATGCGTTTCCTCAGTTTTCATCAGATTTCGATGATTTTTTTTATGTTTGATAGATAATTCTTTAGTGTCGGTTTTGAGTCCAAATTGCCTGGAAAAAAGTACAACCATGAAGGTGAAAAATCAAAAAAAATGATTTTTTACACTTTGCGCAAAATCAAAGGCAAAGTTTAATGTCTGTAAAAAAAAAAAACAGCGTAAAATCCATTTAAAGAGTTGAAATCTAACGCAAAAGAATTATAAAAAAATTATATTATAAATAAAAATTATCGTATAATATTATTATGACGATCCATGAAAGAGGTTCCTTCCTTGCAAGATTGAGAAAGCAAAAACGGCCCTTTCCACGGCCACCCCCATTAAAATTGTTACCTCCCCCCAACTTGGGGATGTGCCTCAGTTGCCCCCAATATTGATTTTCGAGTGGGCTGAATCTAAAAGTAAACTGCTCCAAATGAGCAGAAAAATACCCAGTAATGAAACAATTGGTCGAAGAAACGGCTATACTGCTTGTAGTTGATAAACGAATCAGTCAAAACCAATGAATTGTGAATTGGAATAAAACTCTTGAAATAGTCGCAATCTCTTTCTCTCTCTTTATCCTTCTGTTTTTCTCTCTGTTTCTCTCTCTCACTTTCTTTCTTTCTTTCTCTCTCTTTCTCTCACTGTCTTTCTTTCTCTCATACTTTCTTTCTCTCCCCCTTTCTCCCTCTCCCCCACCTTTTGTTCTCTGTCTCCCTCTCAACTAGCGAGCGAAACCTTTGGGAAACCTTGATAAATTAATTACTTTTGTTAATTCTACCCCAGAATCAAGAATGATTAAGAGTATTTTTTCTTAAAACTTTTATGATCTTTGAGGACCATAAAACAAGTTACTGCATTTTCGTTAATGTTGTAAAACCAGTTATTTATATATATATTGCAAAAGGTTATTTTTACTATTACAAAAGTAAAAAAAAATCATGTGGTTAGAATAATTGCCAAAATTCGATGTTGCATTGAATGGAACAGGGTTCAAAGTTTCTCTTTGGGAAATTTTTCCCATTTTTCTTGGCAATAATGACAAATTTTTGAAGTCGATTGTGTGGTTTTCGTTGGAACACGTATTTCTTTAGTTCCCAACACAATGATTCAGTTATATTGAAATCAGAATTTTGAGCTGGCCGGTATTCCAAAATATGAATATCTTCATCCACAAAAGTCTTTTTATTGCTCATGATGTGCGGCAAAGAGCGCCTCATACCGAAAAAGTTTCTCCCCTCGTATTATGGTAAATTCCCCATATACGGATGAACTCTTCCAAGTTACAAATAAAATCAGGTACTGCTTTTGTCAAAGGTGGTTTTTTTTTTTTCCAAAAGTCAGATCTGACAGTTTAGAATTAACATCCTTATTTGTTTGTATATTATTTTATTACCGATTTTCGTTAATATATTTGTTAACTTCAATCCACTCTTGTGTTTTTTTATTCTGGCCCCAACAAGGCCACAACATCTTGCCTGGTAGAAAATTAGACCGGAGTAAAGTAATATAGTTTTAACTGTTTCGGTTTCCATCAACTCATACAAATTTTCTTCTGCCATTGTTTTTGATGCGACCCCACACCTTTCCGTGTCCACTATGAGAGTTGAACGTCTTTGTGGTATATCTTGCATTATTTCTTTCTATCATTAATCTTATTACTTATTTTTTGTTTATAGCACCATTTTGCATTCAACACTAAAAATTACTTTTTGACAATTTTCACTATGCTATGCTAGATGCGTTTTTGAGCACTTTCGATGCTTTTTGTTAATCATATTTATCTTTTATATACCTGTTGAAATTGTTTTTTTCGTAATATTCTATGTAATGTTTGAAAGGATACCACCTCTTAAGAATGCATAGATACTTATGAATCTGGTTAACTATATATATATATATATATATATATATATATATATATATATATATATATATATATATATGTTCTTTTTTCTCACTCTCTCTCTTATACTTATGTCTAGTATTACTACTATTACATGGCTTTATCCTCTCCCTGAATTGAGCTCTCTCGGTCATTGGCGTGTTTATTCACAGAATGATTACGTAAAAGTTCACTTTTCTTTCAATGATGGTTTAGGGAGGAAATCTTCGACTATATCACACGGGTTTCGATCCCGGTTTGTAGCAGTCTATCTGTGATGACAATATATATATATGTGTATAAATACACACACACACACACTTATATATATATATATATATATATATATATATATATATATATATATATATATATATATATATAGATCGATAGATAGCAAGAGAAAAAGAGGCAGGCAGACTGCTTGACACATAGGTAAGTAGGTAGTTAATATATGAACAAACCTGTCATATTTTTTAAGTGATATATATATATATATATATATATATATATATATATATATATATATATATATATATATATATATATATATGTATGTATATATTGATAGATAGATGTGAATCTTGATAACTGTTGATATTTATCCATCTACCTATATGTCTCTGTAAACCGACTATCTGACACACAGATAGATAGCTAACGAGGTTGGTAGATAGATAGATCAATAAAATTATATAGTCTCAAACTTAGTAGTCGAAAGGATGTACCTTGCTTGAAACTCCGCATTAGGCATATTAACTTTTCTAAGACTTCAATCACCGATCACCGACTCAAGATTAAAATACGTACATATGCGTAACTTTACTATTTACAGATATATTACTTTTTGTTATGATGCTCCGAATGTCTCTAGTTTTGAAAGAATGGATTACAGTAATCCTTCAAATAAATAAACAACATTTTAGATTTTAACCTCGAAACAGCAACGACATCACATTTGGGAACTTCTTTTTTTTTTATGTGCCGTGTCCCTTCAGAACGTTGGCAGTTATGACGCACCACATCTTCCTGTCCCTTTTTTTTCTTTTTCTTATTTCTCCTAAACCCTGTTTTGCTATTTACTCAAGCCCACTAAGTATATTACTCTCTGCTTTCTTCTGTCCATTTTTTTTATCAATCTTTCGCGTGAGTATCAGATTTCCAAAGCCCTCCTTCCTCATTATGTCCTCCAGAAATTTCACTTACCTCTTCCTTATTTAAAGTATAAGTTTCCTCTTCGTTTCTACTCTCTTCAAAGCCAGGTCGTTGGAATTTTTGGGTACCCTGGTGTACTAGTGAGCCAGCCATAATGAGATGACTCATTTTATAGTTCACCAATAGAAGGGTTAACCAATCAGAAGGCTCAAAATATTCAATGCGACGTGTATAAAGGCGGCCATATTTTTCCCGAATATTCACTGCCAGACTTTGATAATCCGGACGAGGCTCGGCTGAAAAGCAGAGTCTCGTTCGGGGAGGTTGACTGCTCCTGAACCCGTTTATACGCGTTCGAATAGGGAATATTTTTTGGCCGAGCCTAGGGGCACCGAAATCCCACGTTAATCCCGGCCTTGTGCCACATGTAACCCGCGGGGGGGGGGTAAATATTACTGCCAGCCTTTGATATTGAAGACTGAAGAATTACGGAACAGCTGCTGGTGATATTGGCGATATAGTCAGATTCAGTAGAGTCGTTGCTCAGATGTTCAGTCCATGGTAGCCTCAGCATCTTTCTGTAGGATTCTTTGAGATTTTTCAGCATTCGAAGTGAGAATTATAAAACAAAATAACTCTTAGTTCCTTTTGGCTATATAACAGTAAGCAGGCAATTAAACGCAGTATACGTCTAATTAGGTGCCTGTTCACTTTTTCTGTGGCGTGAATGTCTCGAACGATCGAAAATTTTCCTTTTCAAACCTGCAGACGACATGATTCCTTTTGCGCGTTTTTCAATGGACGCAATATGTAAAATACATTTGTAAGACCGCGGAATATTGAAAAAGGTTAAACCCGTTTAATTGGTGAAAAAAAAAGGAAAAAAATACAAGATGAAAAATAATAAATTAATAATAAGAAGAAGACAAAGAATAATTTGCTTTTTTCACATTAATCCCCCAAACATTATACCAAACATATGACATTTGCTCGGAAGACAATCTGAACAAAAGATGTTTAAAAGAAAACAAAATATGTTAGAAGTAAAATAATAATAATAATGATAATAATAATAATAATAATTATAATAATAATAATAAAGAACATGGCGTAGGAAAACGAACAAAATGCATGAACTGAGGGATTCTTCTTATAATAATATTTATTGCGAACAATTCATTTTATATTTTGGGATTATTTTTTAAATTTTATTAATAATGCAAATTCGTATTTTTCTATTTTTTAGACGCTGAATAAATCCTTTTCTTTCACTTTATCCCAACGGCTTATGTTCACATTCATTTCAGATATATTTATAAGTTTTTGTGTCCTGGTGAACAGATATAATCGTTTATATATATATATGCATACATACACACACACACACACACACACACACACATATATATAATACTTAGCATGTAAAAATCTTCAAAACATACATGTATAAACATTCAGATATGCTCACACACATAATATATATATATATATATATATATATATATATATATATATATATATATATATATATATATATATATATTCATACCTTTTTGCATGTGCACAATCTTAAAAAAAACATATGTATTACCATTCACATACTCACACACATAATTATTATATATATATATATATATATATATATATATATATATATATATATATATATATATTTGCATATTTATAAATATACCTGTGCGCTTCTGCTAACTACTTAAGGGCCCGTGATTCATATCTTCAAAACATATATATATAAATATACAAACGCATGCACACAGACAGACAGACAAACACACACATATATATATATATTCGCATATGCATAAATATATATGTTCAAAACGCATAAAACATACATATTAACACATGCACACATATACACACACACACACACACACACACACATATATATATATATATATATATATATATATATATATATATATGAATGAATAGGTATCAAATATAGATTAGAATCCGACAGAACGATAGGATAAGTGACCTTGTTTATTTTTTTTTATTTATTTTCTGATGAAGTTCAAATAAAAGCGAGTCATGTTAACATCATAAACGTTTCCTATTTGTTTCTTATCATGCCACACACATATACCGGGTGTAACAGCAAAATTGTCCAAAAACGTGTAACACCATAATTGTCCATCCCGTAAAATGTTTAATATGTAAAAAAAACACGAAATTTTCTTTTTCCAGCTTTCCAGATAAAGACGTTTAGCCTCCTTATTCACCTACAAAGAGAACAGGTTAAAATCGTTTTGTCTCAGACCCATTATGTCTTCTCAACTGAGCAATGGTGAGAGGAAAAAGATCATTCAGGCCTTCAGTGGAGAATGAGGGTTGTTTGCTATATCATACATTGTATGGTGGGTTTTAGTCTTGAAAATTAGAACTGGTGGAACTAAGGAATGTGGTTCCTCCAAAGACTTTCCATGGAAATAGCGACAGAACAGACACAGGCTGGCGACTTTTTTCTCCGTGAAAAGGGGTTGTAGCGTGGAAAATAATTGATTACCGATTTATCGGAGCCGATGCTAGTGTAGTAATAAGATATTCGGGTAGCTTACACGTTATCGGCGTGAAGAGTAAAATCAATATGACGAATTCGAATCCCGTTTTAGGCTTTCGGATAAATCTCTTTGGTAAAGACATAAATGGTTCAAAGAGGAGGGCAGGCTGAAATCTGGCGACTTTGCCTGCAGTCATTTATAAAGACTAACCTCAATGAAAAGAAGAAAAGAAAAATGCAAAGTCAAAAAATCGCTCTTCTTTCTCGTGGAGTCATATATAGTGCTGTTCGATAAAAGTGACTCACCTGATTTTTTTTACTAAATGTTCTCTTCTCCGAAGAAACGAAAGTTGAGCAAAATTCAAAGAATAAGCGATCTAAAATCCGAAGAAGAAGCTTTGAAAGCTCTTTGAATTTAGCAGTAAGTACTGTCAAGCACCCGTTCAGTATAATGTTCTGGGGTATGCTTTTCTTTTCATGGAACTGGTTTCTTAAAACCTATTGAAAAGACCCTCAGGAGCGAGCAGTACAAGAGAATTTTAGAGTCTTGTCTGCTGCCTTCTGCTGAAAGGGTGCAAATCGACCCCACCAAGCTCATTTTTATGCAGGATAATGCTCTCTGTCACTAATCAAAATTGATGAAGGATGAGAAGCAGTTGAGTGTTATGACATGGCCGCCCCAATCTCCTGACCTCAACCCCATAGAAAACTTATAGAGCATGTTGCTCAACTTCTTTCTCGAGAGCCTATACTTTATAATGCTCCATAAGTTTTCTATTGAAATAAGTTCCGAGCTATATTTAGTTCTGAGTTGTATTTAGTTTCGAGTTGAAATTAGTTCCGAGTTGTATTTAGTTAAGAGTTGAAATTAATTCCTAGGTAAAATTAATTCCGAGTTAAAATAACTTCCGAGTTGAAACTAATTCCGAGGTAAAATTAATGCTTTGGAAGAGGTTCTCCGAGCGGAACTTGCTGATGGAATACAAAGGAATAGGGATGATGCGTTTTAACGTATGTCGCACAGTGGGTTTTAGCTGTGAATCTCAGAACTTGTTGAACTAAGGAATGAAGCTCATCAGAACATTTTCCATGGGTCTAGCGAAAGATGAGCGAAAATCTTGTTAGAAAGGTGTTGTAGAATGGAAAATAATTCATTACCTAAAAGGCCGTGTAAAAGCTTTTGAGCTCTATTAAAACTAGAAAATGAAGACTGGACATTATTTATACACTGTTTTGTAATCTGCTTAGATATTCTCTAAAGATCTATGGCTTTAGGCATATCGTTAATATAATCCCGAAAGAGGATAGGACTGAGCAGAGAAACATGATTTGGATCAAATGTCTGGAATTCACTCGATCTCTTTATCTCTACAGATATTGAGTTTCGTTTTGTTCTATCCAGTGCCACACGATGAAACTAGAGATAGGAAGACGGTTATGAGCTATTCTTACTAGTCGAAACGGCCGAACTTGCTTGGAAACCAGCATTTGATTTATTAGAATTTACCGGTCACTGACACAAGAAGAAAATACCTATCACAGCTATTTACAAACTTTAGATATTTGACCTTTCACTGTCTTGTTTCCTACTCTTCAATTTAGAAGAATAGACAGCGCCAAGCGTTCAAATCATGTTCTTTCCTGCCGTTCAAAGAAACTAAAAATCCTGGATTTTTACCTCGAAATAAAGCAAGACTGGGCAGCTGCAACAACAGATATGGCAAAAATACTCTATGTCTGACTTGGTCTGAGTTTGAGCTTGTTGAATAGAACATTTCTCTGAAATCTAATACAAGACCCAAGAGCCATTCAAGGTAGTGGGGGTTTCTTGTTTTGGCCTGATTTCTCTCTTGTTAAGATTTGCAAAATACATTATTTGAAGTTGTATTTTTGTTGTAACGTAGGAAGAGTTACTGAATGGTTGGAAAATGAAATGGTAAACTTTATAAAATCAATGAAATACAATACTCGACAGCGGCGTGAAGTAGGAAAACCACTGCTCGTGGTGGATTACGTAGACAACATATTAACCCCACTTACAATAGTGTCCAACGTATTTACGAGGATTGGGACATACCCATTTGCGTTCATAGGTAGGGTATATAGCACTATCTTAATCTCTTCATTATCTACCGACAACACTCCCTTCATTATCTATCTATCTATCTATCTATCTATCTTTGTGTTATGGTCCGGTTCCTTGTATCACGGTGATAATCCAAGGTAGAACCAATAAAGAAGAACTCGAACACGTATATGGAATAACACAGATGTATTACAAACAGGAATATATACAGAGAAGTAGAAGTGTTAGTATGAACAATCAGGTTTAGAACAATGTAGTCTCGACCAGTATCACTATTCCAATGTCTTGTAGTAATTGTCTGAACGCGACTCTGTTTCGGACTGCCTTTGACTCGACTGACTGATTCGCTCGCTCTGACTGACAGACTCCTGACGGACTTCTGACGGACTTCTGACGGACCTCACTCCAGACTTCAGACTGAACAGTATTTAGTCACCACCCCAACAAGGGCATCATGGGGCACAAGGCCGGTTTAACGTGGGATCTCCGAGCCCGTGGTCTCGGCCAAAATATGCCCTTTGAACCCGTATAAACGGGTTCAGGGTCGGTTTACCTCCCCGAAAGAGACTCCACCCTTCGGCGTAGCCTCGTTCGGGTTCCTCCCCGCCCGAGGTCAGAGAGTTCAACCAATCAGCCGGTCGCCCGACTTCGGACTGAACTCCCTGCTTCCTCTTGAGGCGCAGTATTTATTACGTATGGAATAGTCCATTATGTTATTATGGGTAAGGTCCTCTAACACTATGTCTCTTCATTATCTACCGACAACATCCCCTTTATTATCTATCTACCTACCTCTCCGTCTATCTGTTGTAACCTAAAAAGGGTTACTGAATGACAGATAACCAAAACGGAGATTGGAAATGAAATGGTAATCTATAGAGCATCAACAAAATACAATACTCGCCAGCGCTGTGAAGTAGGTAAACCACTGCTAGTGGTGGACTACTTAGACAGCATATTAACCCCACTTACAATAGTGCCAAACGTATTTATGAGGGTTGGGACATGTCTATTAGTGTTCAGAGGTACGGTATATATCAATATATTTTTACGTATACGATCATGATAATCGATTTCCGAATTTCAGAAAAAAGATAATTCAGATATTCGGGCTTAGTCAAAGATCATCTGGATTAAGAAGAAAAAAAAAGCGATCGTTGAAACTGAATACATAGCGACTTTTTTCGAATTTTTTTCATTGAAATTGCCAAGCTTTAACTTTGCAAGAGACATGTGGGGATTTTGGTGAGAAGTCATCAGTAATTTTTATCTTCTCAGAAAACAAAAAAAATTACTCGCGCTGAAGCAAGCATGTAAAAGCAACGAACGTAACAGATAAATAAAATAAGTAACAGCTAAATAAATATAAGGAACAGCTAAATAAATATAAGGAACAGCTAAATAAATATAAGGAACAGGTAAATAAAAAAAAATACGCCAACGATTGATTTTGGAGGGATTCGCTTGGTACTTAAATGACCAAAAATTTTTCAACTAATTTTCCAAATCTGAATCGATAGCTAAAAAAACCTTCATTCCTCTTGGGCAGCCAACGTTGAAATGAAATTGATTATAATTTGATAATAATATGTAAATATATTTTTTTCGGTTCTTGCAAAACCTGACAACTTACCAAATAAAATTATATATATCTAAACACACACACATACATGTATATACAGGGTGTGATAGGTAAATTATCGCCATTTTATATTTTTTTAATTTCGACGCATGCGCATTGTTTGTTTTTGATTTTGCCGAATGTACAGTATAGTAGGATCAGTTGGGCATTCGCGCCCAAAGCTCCAGTTCAAGCATTGCAAAATGTTTGGGTGTCAATCTGTGGACTGTGCAGAGGATTCGGAAAGAGTTGGATGAGTCTAATGGTGATTACGTTGGTGTTTGGAGTGATCACTATTGTTGACGAGTTATGCCTCCATTCATCTTCACACATGGCAATTATACACACAAATGCTGCTTGACTGGTCAAATGCAATTGGAGTCTGCTTAACCAATGAAAATCAAACTACACAAAAAAAAATAACAGAAATTTTTTTCCATGTATCTTTCTTTCTAATGAAGCGTTCATAAAAGTTGTTATATAGAAATAAAGTGTCGCTGCCGACACTTGAGTTAGAACATAGATCGCCAGTGAGTAAACAGAGGCGATCCCATTATAAGTAGATCATGTGACCACAGAGAAAACGCATATATAGGAAGTCGCATGACGTCTAGATTGATCGCTATTTCTAGTCTATCCCTTATTACTATTCGGATCGCATTTCTATTCTACCCTCTATTACTATACAGGCAGCTATTCTCTACTCTATTCACTTTAGTATTTTTCTATTAAGATCACTATTCGGGTTACTTGTCGAGCGAGTATTATCGAGCAAGTACTATTAATGTGAGTGTTATTCGAAGGTACCTGACAACAGTATTGTTAAACGGCGTTGCTATAGTTGTATGTGCGATTACAAAGTCTCTACTACAACGAGTGACAACGAGTGTTCGTTGACATTATAAAAAAGTGAAATATGTTAGATTTATAAAAGTTTCCTAGTTTTTCTTTATCGTATCATTCTGTCGGATTTCCATCCATATTTGATCTGCATTTGATCCCAGTTAGACCAGGCTTGCTGTGAGATATGAGATTTTATCGGTTTACCATTTCTACAATGGTTACCAACCAAGGCTATAGAATCCTGTCTCTCCTGTTGTATGACCCAAAGTTGGGAGAAGAGAAAGATTTCACATATTTTCCCGAGGGTATATGAATGTAATGAATCTCTCGAATATATATATATATATATATATATATATATATATATATATATATATATATATAACTTCGCTAGAGCGTGGTACTTACGTGTGACTCAAACTGTCCTTCACTGAGTGCTGGCGTTGTGAAGCGTTATTTTTTTTTTTTTTTTTTTTGCCTAGATGTCCTTTTTTTTTCTTAGTCGGGATTTTTTCTTCTCTAAGGTATTACGTCTTTTGAAAAGTTGTCTGTTGGTCACACTGACATTGTTGTGTTTAATATATATATATATATATATATATATATATATATATATATATATATATATAATTTAGACGTATTATGTCTATTTATTTTAGTCTTAATCATTTCATGTCCACAAATTCAGTTCTTGGTGGCTGTAAAAAATTGATTAAAAAATAAATTCCAAAATTTCCTTTCAAATATTTTTTTTTTTATTTTCTCACGTACTGTCAATCTCATCTGATAAGATTTTCGGGGGCTGCATATCTAGGGATGTGCTATGCGTTAACACCGTAAATTCAAAATATTTTTTACCTCTATGCAAGGTAGGTAAATTATTTGATTCCTTGTTATATACCGTAATTCTAAAAACTAATGTGTATGTCCCAATCCTCATAAATATATTGGACACTATTGTAAATGGCGGTAATATACTGTCTACGTAGTCAATCACTAGCAGTGGTTTCCCTACTTAACGTCGCTGGCGAGTATTTTATTTTGTTGATGCTATAATGATTACAATTTCATTTCCAACCTCCGTTTTGGTTATATCTCATTCAGTAACACTTCCTAGGTTACAACGTCCTTTTAAAAGATTTTTAAAAGACAATTTTTTTTTTAATTGTAGTATTTTAATTTAGCATTTTATTTAACAATTTTCTGCTGCAAACATTTACGAACTTCTTGCAATACTCGTAGTTTATTTAATTATTTTTCGCCACAATTCTCTCATATAAAGGGCTTCCAGAATTTTAAGTGTTTGCTTATTATCTTGATGGTGCACTGATGTATTTTCAACTAATGTCCGTCTAAAAAGTGAATGTTGACATGAGTGTTCCTTAAATGTTCTGAGATTGAACAATGATCGTTAAAGTGAAACGTACGGCTTCTTGTCATTGTCGTTGTTGTAAAACCAACATAACATTTTTAGCCGAGATGCAATCTCACAAAGGACATTTAAATCGATATGTGATATAAATGCTTATGGATTATTTGACCAAACATGTCTGAATGACAATATGTTGCCTAGACACACACACACACACACACCCACACACACACACACACACACACACACACACACACACACACACACACACATATATATATATATATATATATATATATATATATTGTATATTTGGGCAGTAATCCTTCTTTTATATGTTTCATTGAATAGTTTATATTCTCGACCATGGAATTCCGATTTCTCTATTCCTAGTCACCTAAATTATTAAAAAATTTAAATGCAACGCTCCCCGCCATCTTCTGTCTTCCCGAAACCTGTTCTTTTATTATCCATTCTCCTAAATGATGCCCAGTAATCTTTTGCATCTTAGTGGCTTTAAAGCCTTGCATGGGGTGAAATGATTAAAAAACTATACAACTCATAAATAAATGTTCTATTCGGATTTTATTCTAGCGTTCTTACAATGTTTATTTTACGAGGAATAAGAGAATATAGAAACTGTCTGTAATGATTATAGCCCCGTACGCTTTCCGATAACATTTTAGCCATTTTGAAAAGGTAGATAAATTTTCACAGTTCATCATTTCGGGATGAATGAAAGTTAATGATTTACTAATAAGATTTTACTAATATCTTAATCAGTGTTTAGTTACAAGAAATATAAAATTATCTAAGTTTGGAAAATTTCAGTGTGTGTTTAAAAATAAATAGAAATAAAATAACACTCATGTTCTGTGTGAATGTGCAGAAAAAGAGTATTATGGATGAATAACTGGAAGATAGCCATGAATATGTCCGTTTAGAACAGTTAGTAACATTTTAACAAAAAACAGAGACTTGGAATAAAATGGCCTATACTGATAAGGAACCGAACGTTTAATAAAATAGAAACATGCAAATAGGTTTTCCTATACTTAGAATATAATAGGCGTATTGCATTTATAGCTCCATGCATGATGAACGAGAATCAGGCATGGAAAATGGCTAAAAACAAACAAACACACAATATAGAAACGCACAAAAGTCAGTGGAAATCACAAGAAGAGAGAGGGTAATATGGAGGGGGAAGAGACCAGTATCAGAAATTTCATGGAAATTATTCGATGCTTAAAAATGGAAGGCAGTGGTTAAATATCAGAAAAAGAATTAATGGAACAAGTAGTCTCTCAGTTGTTGTCAAATAACCAAAAAAATGTAATATTAAAGGAGCAGACAGAAGATATGAGACACAGGCAGATGGGGAAAAGGCCACAGTTCTATTCGCCATGGAATGATTTTGTAAGGACCTCTTATAATAGCGGGTACGCAATGAGTGCTAATGACGATATAACTACATATATGCATACATATAAATAACATAATACATTCATACATATAAATAATATAATAGATACATATAAATAATATAATACATGTATACATAAAAATAATATAATGCATTCATATATATAAATAACATAATACATGCATACATATAAATAATATAATAGATGAACACATATGAATAAAATAATACATGCATATATAAAAATAATATAATTCATGCATACATATAAATAATATGATGGATGGATACATATAAATAATATAATAAATGTACGCATATAAATAACATAATACACGCTTACATATAAATAATATAATAGATGGATACATATAAATAAAATAATACATGCATACATATAAATAATATAATAGATGGATACATATAAATAAAATAATACATGCGTACATATAAATGATATAATATGGATACATATAAATAATATAATACATGCATACATATAAATAATATAATAGATGGATACATTTAAATAATATAATAGATGTATACATATAAA